CAGTGCAGCACTCCCAGGAAGAGCTGTGTGCAAATGGAACCTTTTTTCTTCCCACCACCAACTAAGCAAAGGAAGCAACAGGAAAGTAACTGCTAATGACTCTGTGGCTTAGTCTTCCTTTTTCCCTTAGTATTATTCTGAACTTGAAACAGGTACTGGTATGCGCTGTGTCCAGTTGTACCCCTAAAGCCTCGTGTAACTCATGGGCCAACTTCTAGAGTTTATGAAAAATTCATGATCCACTGGGATTAGGAGTGTGAGTACTGCTGGGATTGTAGTGGTGTGTGACACCCAGCCTGGGGCAGATGCCTCAAGGCAACTTAAGGAAGACAGACTTGCTCCCTTCTGTCCTTGTGGCCACTGCTACTCTCCTTACTTTCTACTCTTTGCTGCCGCCAGGAGTGGCTGTTCTCTCCATGTGCCGCTCTGCCTTGGAGCCAGCTGGGTATGAACTGAAACCTCCACTGACTGTGAGCTGAAAGGAAATACAGCTTTCCTTCCTTCATTTGGGGTGTTGGGAATTTTTCCCCAGCAACGAGAGAAGAGTAACCAAGACAGGTACTTACTTAATATGGTATTTCTCACACATGTCACTTCTTAAAAGCCCAAAGAAGCCCAATGAAAAGATTGTTTTTATTTAAAACACATTTGGCTTCTTAGCCTAAATCTAATAGTAACAAAAATTTTAATTCAAATATATTGGATGTAATTTCATTACAAGCTCACAGAAGTCTTTCTGTAACTATTTGGAGAGATCAAATAACATCCTATTTGCAGAGTCACATCCGCGTGAGGAGCGGCGAGCCCCCCGATGTTCCTTCTCCAAAACAGCTACAACCTCAGCTACACCGTGCAGGCTCCTCCAGCAGGGCTGGTAGATCGCTCCTAAAGATCAGAGGTTCTGTGTGAAGAGGACGACTAAGCCCCACCCACCGTGGCTTCAAAAAAATTCTGGGTGAGATGCGCTCAAATCCCCAGTCTTCAGCCCTTTCTCTAAAAGGTGCGAAAGCAGCATCTACGGTGAGGACGTGATGTGCTGCATAGCATTTCTCTTTGATTAACAAATGAATGATAAGTTGTGGGAACAGTACATACATTACATAGAACATCTATGTTCCTTGCTTTAAGCATTCACCTGTGAGAGATATGTCAACTACAGCCTGATAAACATTTTTTGAAAAAAGTAATTATACAGAAATATAGAATTAAAAGTGAAAGCTGGAAGATTGTCTTTAACTCTCACTGTCGGAGTGGCAATTGGCACCTTCTCAGGGCATTGGCATGTGATACTTCCCCACCTTACCCTGGCAGAGGGGCTGACTTCAGATGGGAAATGGCCAAGGTAGGCCTTCCAAGAGGTCCTGGCAGAAGCTGTGGGTCTCCTTACGGCTTAGCCGCACAGTGCCAGGACCTCCTTTCTGTGGCAGTGTCCTCATGACAAGTGGCTTACGGAAACCGGCCCTGGCTTAGCAGCAGACCTTATCACCTAGGACCAGGCGCAGCCCGCTTCGCTGGGGCGGCAAGGGTTTACTTCACAGTGACCGTAAACGTGAGGAGCATCTACAGCAGAAGTGGGCAAGCGACAGCTGTGCAAAGAAGCCCGCGCCGCTCCGGGCTGTCCCCAAGTCCAGCTCACGGCATCCTCGGCAGGCTTGTCCCTTTCCTGATGCCTGGCAGAGGCGCCAATGCTACAAAGGCAGAGCGGAGACAGAGAGAGATGTCGTGGCTCGCAGACCTAGCCTGAGCTGCTGCCACCCTCCGCCGAACGCTTCTGCAGCAGCGACTGCCCGGAATGGACCGCAGCTTTCTAAGACGACTAGGAAACGAGGGGGATGGAAAGCTGGACTTAACTGTCATCGTGTGTGCAAGACAGAGGTGCAGCTGAGACAGAAGGGACAGCGGGACAATCTGAACGAGCGACCTTAGAGAAACTGAGCTTCCCATTATTTTCAGGCTGTTCTTAGTGTTGCTGAAGCAGAAGGTCCCCAAACCTTCTGAAGACAGTTAGCGTTTTTTACTTTTAAAATCAACCAAAATACAATTCTGCACACTTCCTATTTTTTTAATGTGCGCTTGGAATTCTTGGAGTGGAGATGCACGTCTCATGGAGACATGAGATCATTCTCAAAGAAAGGTAACTCAGGGCCAAGGAGATAGCTCAGCAGCACAAGCACCTGCTTGGCAAATGCAAGGTCCTGCGTTTGATCCTTTTTTTAAAATTAATTTTATTGAGAAAGAAATAGCAGTGAGACAGTTTCAGAACAGTTACAATAATTAATTCCTTGTATATTGTTGTCTTCTTAGTAGTTATTCATAGTACAAGATGCAGACATGATATCGTGTCTAAACACTACTAGTACAAATCTTTCTTCTCATTGAAGTAAGAGAAAGTAGCTGTATATCTAGCCTAATTATTTATATACAGATATAGACATATCTTTAT